GAAAATAACAGTATCCTGCTAATAGGGTTGCTATTTAGATTACATACAATAATGCATGTAAAAAGCTTAGCATAGCACTAGGCATCTAGTAAGCACTCAGTAAATGTTACATATTATTATTTTTAGTGTTTTATTATCCCTTTAATATCCAAATTTGGAGAGAAACTTGGTCATGCCTTATCGCTTATTTCACCATGTGACCTCTGTGACAACTTGATTTACTCATTCATTGAGTCTTTCACTTACCATGTGCAATGCACTCTAGTAGATGCTATAGGTAAGACAAACAAAAATCTAACATAATATATGCCTTGCAGAAGCAGGGCTATACAACATGTATATCAATAAGTACAATAAAACATTGGTAGACATAGGTCCCAAAAAGGCAGCACAAGCACCATGCTTGGACATTTCAAAGAGAGGAAGTGAGCACAGGGGATATAGGGATGAATAAGGAACAAGACCTGTTCTCAAGGAGCTTGATGCAATGGGAAATAGACATTTACCCAGCTGTTATTCAAAGTAGAAAATAAAGAGGGCCACAAAAAGTAAAGTTAAAGAACTAAAGAGGGAGAAACTAAATATCTCAGATCAGAGAAGGCTTTATAGATGAAGTGACACGAGTTGGCTTTGAGGGATGCATAAGATCAGGAACATTGGAGACCTGTGGGAAAGATGCCTTAGACAGTAGGAAGACTAAGAGTGAAGAAGGCACAGATGACTCTGAAAATCCTGGGAACAGTTGAACAGTTACTAATAGCACTTAATTTGACTAAAACATAGAGCTTGTGCAGAATAAAGGATGTGATTAGATGAGTATGTAGGGAATGTCATTTTGGACTCAAGCCTCTTTTGACCCACAGACATGTTCTGTTGGTCAGCACACATTTTAAGAGTTAATGTCTTTTAAAAAGTTATACTTTCTAGTTAGTACCCACTACGTTTTATTGTCTTACTCTAGAGGATAAGTCAGTCTTCCTACCTATTACAGGTAATATAGCATAAAGTTAAGCATACAAGCTCAGAAGATAGACTGCATTGGTCCAAATCCTGGTTATACCACCTATTAGGTCTACAACTTTATTTATGTCACTTGAACTCTTAGACCTTCAGTTTCATCATCTGTAAAATGGAAATAGTCAATGCCTCATTGGGTAGGTATTGATACCAGGCATATAGTAAGTGCTTAATAAATGTTAACTATTATTACTCTGTTACCTACCTGTGCCTTGAAGTGAGTTAGTTTACAAGTTCTACTTTGGAACTACTGAAAACATTTTTGAGAAAGGATGTGACATCTTTTTAATCTTGAGTCCTTGAATGTTCTACTAAACCCCACTTAAATTATAATGACTGGTCCAAGGACATCAGATAATTCTGTTAAGCCCTCAGCTGCTGGAATACAGTTTCTAGTGATGGGTCTCAGTGTGATTTACAGAAGTGAATCCCTCACTCACCATTGGAGAGGGCCAGTGGAAGAAGAAACAAGTAACCAGCTTTACCCATTGATGTTTTCCAAACGTGCAGTGATTCACGTAGCAGCAGTTTCCTAGGATTGATCCTGAGCGCAAATGAAGGCTTCATTTTCAGAACAAATTATTATGAGTTTTAAGAACTATAATCTTGAAAATCTCCATGATTCTAGAAGCTTCTCTGGTAATTTTTTTTTCTGTTTTTAAGAGCTGAAAAATGGAAAGCATTTAATATAGAATTTTTGCCCCTAAAACAGCAACTTGAAAATAAGAGTACAATAGCTTTAAAAACACTACAGTGAACAAAACAAGCCTTTTTAAAAGTGCTGTGGGCTTAATACACAAGGACTGCTAATTACATAACTGTCAGTGATGTTTTCTGGTAGACCCTAATACCAACTTCTTGCAGTACAACAAATATGAAAATGCCTCGAAGTAAATCACAGTTGCTGAGTGCTGTGGGCAAACAAACCCAGGCTTTATCTCTTTGAAAGGCAGCAATGGAAAGTACATGATAAATTGCACAGCTCAGTGAACATGTTATGTCATTGTGAAATGATTTTGATTCATGGTTATGTAGTTATCACGAAACAACTGACAAACCTCAGGGTATCAGAAACATTATCATTCGTGGGGTTTTGCTATTTTCTGTTGTAAAATTCAAGTGCTATAAAGTGATTTGTTTGGTTTTTTTGTATATAAAATTCTGTATTGAAAGTGATATTTGCCACACACTCTCTGGAAATAATTTTTAAATTATGTGAATTTCTTCCAGAAGTTATCAAAGAGCTGAGCTAGTAACTAATATTTTTTAAAGGATGAATAATTCATATTTTTGTTAATATCCTTTTATTAAAATTCTTTTACCTAAAAATAGACCAAGTTGTAAGTCAATTTGATTTTTTTAAATAGAAGTATAATCTCCTTTTATATAGTTTATCAATATACAGAAATTTCTGAATGTTTTCTTTACAATAGCAGTAGAACTAAGAATGAGAGTAATTTTTTAAAGGAAGATTTTGTAGAAGTAGCTTTTATGCAGGCATAATTTCCTTTCCACTTTTGAGATATTCTACTACACTGTCCTTATTTGTTGCTAAGTCTCTGAAGTTTAAAGTGTTAATTAGGCCATATTCCACCTGAAGATGACTTATTTTTTATTAATTTTTTTCTCCATTGATGCTGTTGATGTTTAAACACCAGTAGTTGATGTTTTAAAATGTTTTCTGCTTGTGTTAAAAGCGGCAGAAAGATAGCCTGGCAGAAAGATCAAAGTGATGTACTACTGAACCATTTGTTGTTTTGCTCAGTCTCCTAAAGCAAGACCCACTGTTTCTCAACTTTTTTATATAAATATATAATTCTACTGTTCTAATTTTTGCAGTCAAGTTTTTTTTTTTTAACATGCCTTTGGGTATGCTGAAGAGTATCAGTTAATATGTTGAGAGTTTAAAAAGAAAAACAAAGAAAAGCTTGCCCGTTGGTAGAAATGATTGATTGTTTCTTAGGTATGGTTTTTCCAATATATCACTCTCATTTAAACCCTGAGTTTATTTTATGTTCTGTTAGTATATTTTAATCAATTGACCTTTATATATTGTTTGCCTTTATTAAATTAAAATAACTTTTAGTAGCCTGTAAATATGATTTGAAACATTTCATAGTATTTTTCTTTTAGCCTTGGAATATGACAAACCTATTCTCTAAATATTTACATCATTGAAGAATATCTATGTACTTATGCTAATTTTGACTTAACATTTTCAAAAATAAGTCTGTTAAATTAAATGTAAGCTTTAAAGTGTAAAACCATAGATCATGTAACTTGATACAAGTATTGCAACATGGCTTACAGCATTTTCTTGGAACATTTTTATGCCCTTTACTTCCACCACCATGTCCACTTTCACCTTTATATTGAATACTCCCAAAATGTTATCTATATGAGGATAATTTTAAAACATGAGATTTATGTTGCTATAAAGGAGAAATCCTTTATAACCACATAAAACCGTTGTCACCAGAAATTTCAGTCTAAGTTTTACATGAAAGCAGACATATTTTATCTTTAATGCCTCATTAAACTTCTAGAAACGGCAGTATTCTAGAATATTCTAGGTGAATGACTGCATATGTCTGTATTTCTTCTGAAAAGTTTAAATATCATCAATGAAAAAAACCTGAACAAATCATTTGTTCTAATAATTAAAGCCGTGGTACTTATTCTTCCATTTAATTTTGCCTTTACTCAGAAATGTTGCTTTGATAGATCAACCATGTCTCTTCTACAGCTCTTTAAATAATGGCCAAAACTAACATTCCTAGGCTAAATTGATAGCCTCACTATTCCAAAGATCACATTGTGTTTCATTCCAAATTTCATATGTGGATTTATATACACATGTGTGTACTTGTGCATACGTTTATGTATACTTGTGTGGAGGTGCATGTTTGCATATGCACACATGTCATAAGCATGCATTGTGTGATTAAGAATGTGAACTCAGGAGGCAGCCTGCCTGAGCTTAAATGCTAACCCAACTACTTCTTCCTAGCTATACAAGTCCTAGCAAGCTTTTTTAACCTCTTGCTTCAGTGTTCTCATGTTACAGAGTTGTTGTGAGTTTAAATAAGTCAATATATGTAATGCACTTTGAACACCTAATCCATAGTAACAACTTAATAAAATACTAGCTATTGCTATTATTATTATTATTATATATTTACTCTATGTTATTTCTAAAGTTATTTATACAAGTGCATTGGTGGGTGATTAGTAAGTAGGTATTTCAGTAAAACAGTATTAAAGATATGCCAGCCTGATCTCACTTTTACATGTGGATTCTTAAAAAAAGTCAAAGACATAGAAACAGAGAATAGAACAATAGTCACCAGGGACAGGGAGGGGGAGGATATGAGGAGATGTAGGTCAAAGGGTACAAACTTGCACTTATGTGGGATTAATAAGTCTAATGTAAGCAGGAGGACTATAGTTAATACTGTTGTATTGTATACTGAAAATTTGCTAAGAGAGTGTATTTTAGGTGCTCTTCCCACCAAAAAATAGGTAACTGTATCAGGTGATGAATATGTTACTTGGATTGACTGTAGTAATAATTTCACTATGTATACATATATCAAAACATCATGTTGTACACTCTGTAGACAGTAAAAATAAGAAAATTAAGATAAGCCAACAGAATATTTTGAATTGTGATCACTTAATTGGATAAACTACACTGTGTTGTACATCATTGGTGAGAGGGAAAAATTGGGAAAAAGGAACAAAAGTTGCATAACTTTGTGGCTCACAAGCTGCTCATCAAATATAGTGAAATTTGTTGATTTATTCAAATGTAGGCCAAGTGCACATCTATAGTGTGCAAGGAGCTAGTGTTAAAATAACACATGGTGTGTCCTGAACAAGTAGGAATGTACAGCACAGCTACCTAAAGGATAGATAAGATGAAAATTAAAATAGCAATGCTATGTCAATTGTGCAAACTTAAAGTGGGTTTTCTTTTTCAGGGGGCACCCAAGCCAATCGCCATTGAACCTTGTGCTGGGAACAGAGCTGCTGTTCTGACTGTGTTTCTTTGTCTACCACGAGGATCATCAGGTGCCCCTCCCCCTGGGCAGTCAGGTATGATAAATGAGGAGCCTTCAGCAGTTAAGCAGAACTTGTAGACTGAACAGAAGAGATAAACAATGCCACTAAATAGCACAGTAAGGATCTTTACAAGGTTCTAATTTAGAGCATGGTAAAATTTTATGAGAATACAAACTTTTACCCAACTATCTAGATAGCTGCATTGTTATAAATGGAGATTTCCTAGTGTTTCTCTGAAAAACACATGTTGAATATGTGTGTATTTCTGTATAATACACACATGTATGAATGTTCACACATACACCTGCATTAATTGCTGGTATTACAATGAGAAATCTCATTAGCAGGGCCACCGTGTTCTAGACCCTTCCAGCCAGCTTCCTTTCTTCCGGTATGTGTGGCATGTTGGAAACCAAATTATAAATATGATTAGAAATTTGCTTTGTGAATATGGAACCAAACTAGGGAACATGTATGTTTGGAATGTTGAGTGGCATCAGAGGATGACAGCTTCATGCAATCATCTCAGTAGGTTTAAGATATGCCCTTGCTTTCAGCACCAACTGGAGTTCATGGGCCAGGGGAACCCTCTGTCTTAGGTGGGCACAGCCAGCCTTTGTTCTGAGCCTTTTCCTGTAGGAAAAGCATGTTTTTGAGTTGAAGATAATTATACCTGTCCTCTTAGACGTCTGCTCATTGTGGTGGTGTTGTCCACATTCTAAGCATGCTCAATGTGGAATATAAATCATACTTAAATTGCAGACCACACTTATTTCTCTCTTTTTGCATAGACTATTCCATCTTTATAATTTTGAATTTTTCTGTCTCCTGATTATTTTCTCTCTCCAACCACTCTGGAATGAATGCTTTTTGAGGGCAAGGGTGATTTCAAATCTGTTTTTATCTTCAATTCCCCTTAAGCATAAAATAAAATGCCAGCAATCTGGCAAGTTCTCAATAACAGTAACTGATGATGAACTGGCCTCCTTGCTTATTTTATCTTTTCTTACTTCCCTACTTGGCTTTGAATTTGTTCCTCACTTTCTTGACTTGTGTCCAACCAGACACAAAAAATGGAAAATGTACTACTTTATGCCTTGTAAACGTTAGGTATTCATGTAACAGAATTTTTCCCATATATGGGAGCAAAGAGTTTCCAACACCTTCAGATTCATCATTCATGGTACCTGATGATATCTTATTGCAGGAATTTCTATCCAAAGTTCACTTATGGATGTTTATTCAAAGAAATAAACATTTTCTGCACCTTTTCATACATTGAATGAATGTCTTGTTCTTTTCCTTTCAGCACCTCTGAGGTAAATGGGATGCAATAAGTAAAATAGTTTGGCACTGGTCAGATAAGATGGATAATTATAGGTACTTGCACAGCTAATGGAAGTATTGTTTTAAAACTGGGATGATTTCCAAAACAAACACTTCACTAATGAAAACAAGTCTGTGTGATATACATCAAGGTTTTTCTCGATCCTTCACGAGATGGGCAGACTGAAGGCAACTGCCAATTCTCTGTCCCTTTAACCTTTGAAGTCCTTTTTGACTTATATGAAAGAGACAAGTAGCAGTGTGAACCATTACCTCAGCTGTGTTTTCTAACAACTGGATTATGATTACTAAGGGTAATGTTATCTTAGATATGCATAGTACTTTACTCTTTCTAAAATGTTCTTCTATTTTTCACATGTGATCCTCATGACAGGGCTGTGAGATAGGTGTTATAAGAGGGGAGTGAGATGTAGAAAGCACTGTATATCTGCACTCAAGGAATAATTGGGAGAGGGGATACTAGAGTGTAGAGCAAAAGAATAAAAATTACTTACTGCTAGCATTCCAGGTAATTTTTCCTGATGATCTGGAGCAGAGAGCCTGTCTATAATAAACAGCCCATGTCTTTACAAAAGCAAGCATTTGGATGAATACTGAAAATGTCTACAGGGTTGATAGAGCTAGACAAAAGATTGAAATAGCTTACCATACTTTTTACAGAGCCTGAGGATTAAACTATGATGAGTATCTGTGTACATAATTCAGGATAAGCTTGTTCTTTGTTTTCTAAAAACAATCTAGTAGATTTTTCAAGCTCTTACAGAAATAAGACAGTGGTTCTACTCTTTAAATTGCAGCATTATCTGTTATCTCCATCAATTTGGAAGATGGGTAAGATGGGTAGATGGACTGATATGTCATAAAGCAAGTAAAGTAAAATGTTAATGGTAGGATCTAGGTGCTAGGAATACTGGTATTCATTATAAAATCCTTTTAACTTTGATACATGTTTAAATATTTAATAATAAAATGTTGGGAAACAATAAAATAAAATATCTTGACTTCACTGCAAGAAAAAAGGCAATATCTGTAGAGAAAATTTTTTCCAATATCATCATCTAGGTTTTCCCTGAACAAGAAAAATACTGACACCGATCTATGAACTAAATGACTATTTTTTTCACTCCTCATCCAAATATTTAGTGTATACACAGCCAATTAAAACTTAACACATTTGAGAGGAAATATATTCCAATGATTATTTGGGAACCATATTGGCTCTTGGGAACCAAATGCTGACACTGGTTATCTCATTGTTGAAGTTTAGTTTATTCTATATCTTTACAGAAAGTCCTTATATATGCCTGTGCTCATCCCAGTGCCCTACACATAGAAATCAGTTCATAAGTTATTTTGGTGATGATGATGACAATGATAGTAGGCTGGAAATGTGACCTTTAGCAACCACTTGACTCTATGAGCTTCAGTTAATTTCAGTAAAATGAGCAACTGGGTTCAAATTAATTTACCCTTTCCCAGATTCCTCTCCTAGAAGCCCTGTGTTCTCTTGAACCTCCTCCACTATTTGTACAGGGTGACAGGTTGGGGGAGTTGAGGAGGAGGTAGAGGCGGAGCTTCATTGGCAGGCTCCTGACCCCACCCCCACTGTGTGAAGGACAGGGTGCCAGGGGTCTTCTCTTGGCTGTTGAGCTATTTATTTCTCCAAATGTTAGTGTTTCTGTTCAGTTATTAAATTAGCATTCATTAAGAGTCTTCTTATAGATTAAAAGTCTTCTTGTAGTACTTTGCATAATCTCAAATTTTTTTTATCAGGCTCCTTGTTTGAAATGTAGCTTACTAAATTTTTTTATCAGACTCTTTGTTTGAAATATAACTTACTAAATGTCAGTGTCATGTGTACTCTCCGTTGGCATGAATAAGAGCATTTAAGGAGGTTGAGCCTGAGGATCGGCAAAGGCAAAAGCATCCTATGAGCATGGTGGATTTCTCTCATACAGTGGATTTCAACCCTGAAAATGAGTGACAGAAATGCACAGGAACTACTTTGGCCATCTCTTTTCAGGAGCAGCTAGTGATTTTTTTTTTAATTTAAAAAATAGCATTATCTTTGGATTTGATTTTCTTTCCACCAGCAATTGCTTCAGCAATATGTGGCAAGTAATACTTAGACGTGGCCATTTTAGTTTCTTTCTGAAATGTGTGAACTCCCTTCTTTATGGCTCTTGTCTTAACCAGAGGTCAAAAGAAAAACTGTGCCGACTCATCCCTTAGATTACCCATGCACTAATCTCTTTTTAATACAATAAATTTAGGTGCTTGGGAGAAATTCTCCCTTTAGGGGGCTTAGAATAGTAAGGCAAAAGATATTAAGTAGGCTTTTTGGCATTCCTAGAGCTGGACTAATTAGGTTTCCTGCTCCCGCGCCCAGTAAACCTGCTGCTTCATTTCTGTATTTTCTGTGAGCAGCCATGCCAGACTCTTTGGTTAAGGTGGGATTTATGCTGTTGTTTATGCCTATGTTCACTGTGCAGCCACTTTGTCTTCTGATCTCAAAGTGGTTGAAAGATTGACATCTCCATGAAAACAGGACACATTAAGTAACTCTCCTGCATGACACTAAACAACCAAGCATGTCTCCAGTCACCCCGGACAGCATGGTCCCCGAGCGTTTTAGAGGCACATTAAGATGAAATGTGGACAGAGTAAATAGAGCTCTTCAGAAGCATAAATTGAAAATGATAATGATTGCTGTCACTTTGTGATGGAAGATTATGGATTTCATAGTTTATGGATTCTTCCTAATGAGAAGCAGATTAACTTTTCTCACTGGATCAAAAATCCCAATGGCCCAAATCTCCACTGCTGAAAAGAAGCTATGTGCTACAACTGGAAGTAGAATTTTGCCATGATCCTGCCTCATAGATGATTGACTATACCATTACCAAAAGAATACTACTAGAAAGTCTAAGGTTTTGAAATTTTTAAGTTTTCTACATTAGCCTTAGAAGTTTGGGCAGGATGATTAGATTATTTTGAATAATCTAGACATATTACATAATGTTTAAAATAATCGTTTTCCCACAGTGTCATGGATGTCTTTCTTGTTTATAATGATAACAATAAGAGAACTTTGGTTTAATTTCATGAAAAGAGGAAAGGGAAAGAGAACCAGACATTATATTAAGTGCTTTATATATTCATTGGTGTAACCCTCTTAATGATTCTGTGGAGATGATTATCCCACTTTTACTATTTAGAAAACCAAAACTCTAGAGAGATTAAATGACTTCCCCAGGGTAAATACAGCTAGTGAGTGAGTGAGCCAGAATTCAAACCCAGGGACATTGGCTCCTCAGCCTGTGTGACTCTCCGTCATCACTGTGCTCCTGTGGATAAAGATAATGGAGCATAGCCCTTATTCCTAAAAAACCTTTAAACCCAAAGTCAAGGAGGAAGGCCCTAGAGGGTCTCTGCTAAGCAGTGGGCTTATGGTAGTAAGGACAATTTTATCTTTGCCGGTGACTTCAGAAATTTGGTAAAATGCAAATCTCTGCATGCCATGGTGCATCTACTAATGAAACTATGACTCAGCATATGTAATAGGAAGAAGCCCATGAACTCACAGGAAAAGAAATTAAACTCGTACATCTGAGCTCTGGACTTGGAGCCACAAGCCCTAAGATCTAGACGTAGCTCTGTCACTAACTAGCAGTGGGACCATGGGC